TAAAGCAACAGCGTCATGGCTCTGAGCATCAATTTTCTTTACCTATTTTCAGGTACCCATAGAGAAGTTATCTGCGAAGGTAGAAACCTTGAAGGAACAGCGGTCTCAAGCTTTACAGAGGTTATTTTGCATACTTCTCATTATCAGTTACGTTCAAAGGGCATCATGGTATTCTAAAATTGGGTTTTGGTAAAATATTGATCCTCGGACATCCAATACGGCGTTACCACATCAAGAGATTCTTTCTGACTTATGCGAGCTAAACTGACACTTCGGAAAAATAGCTTAAACTGTTCACTTTTGAAGCATACTCTCTCGCTAGGTATCTTTTCCTTTTTTCGTCACCCTATCCATCCTCCATACAGAGCTCAGATAATTCCTGCTTTTTTAATGATAAGCCTACTTCTAGTTCTCCTTTCACGGCGAATTCGTCAGTGCTTCATGCGCGCTCTCTTCTTCGTGATTCAAATTATGAAGCGTAGTGTACTAATGTTATATGCCCTGAAATAGAAGAAATAGAAGTAACGTAATGGTCGGGTCATATTCTGCAATTCAAGTGTGAGATGGATGTGTCGATCGAACGATCGGTATGTTCCTACTCCACACGAGGACTGCAAAGTGTGACCCGACCCCGATTGACGTTGTAAAGCTACAACAATAGCATAGGGACTCGTTGCACGATACCATTGCCTGTGTGCAAATCTAGAAAAAAAAACGCGGTGAATGCTCCTTTCCTTCTCATGCGAATGCACTTTTTAGAGTTCGAGCGGCTGACAGAGAAAAGGTTGCTCTGGAGGCACCGGTCCGTGAAATGATATCATACCTCAAAGCCGAAAATCACGCTGTACTTCTAAGAAATCAGCTCTTCCACATCAAACTGTATGTTTCTGTAACTTTACAAAGCTACTTTGATGATTTGATTCTATCTCATCGGAGTGGATTGCCTCTCGTTTAGTTTCAAAATTCTGGAGGAGGTCGAGGCAGTTCAACCTCTTCGTGATGCTGCGTACGAGAAAAAGGCTGAAGTTGATAAGGCTCTGAAGGACGTGCTTGACGCTCGTGAAGCGGATAATGATCGACTTGAGGCTGCTCAGAAGTAAACCTTCGGTTCTCTCTCTTGCAACACAGCAACATAGTGGTATTCTGGAAATGTTGTAGAAATGAGGCGCAAGTTCGTGGAGAAGAGAAGGCCGTTCGTGATGAGATCGGTGCGCTTGAGCGATCGTCTAAAGCGCGAGCAAATACCATGAAGAGAAACGTGGCCGACATTTCTCGTGTAGCGGACGAAATTGAGAAGGAAAAGCAAAAGGTTATCTTACAATTTTGCATACGCGTCCATGCTTAACAACTTAGGTTTATTGCCTTAAACTTATAAATTTCAACGTTCGTTTGTTAGCCTTATGTTCTCATTTATTGCATATGTTTTTTTCAGCTTGAGGAGTTGAAAGGGGTTCCAGCGAGAGCTGCGGCTAGATTGGAAGTCCTCAAGGCTTCTATTGCTGAATTGAACGAGCTTGAACGCGATAACATCAAAAAGGTAGGAACGAGTATTCATTTGTTATTTGTATGTATTATTTATATTATATTATTCACTATATTATTTATTTCTTTGTTCCTTATTGTTATGTGAATATCTCAAAACAATATAATTTCCCATGTTCACGGCAAAATCATTTTGCAGGCTGACGACAATCGTGACAAATTCGATCGCAAGGCCGGTCCCGAGAAAGCTGAAAGAGCACGTCTTGAGGAAGAAATGGGAGTGCTTGTTTTGAAGGAAGTCGACGCCAAGAACAAAGTCTGTTTTTTTTGGGAACTGAGACAAGTGGAAAGGTGATATTTATTATTTTTTCAGATTCATATTGCAAAGGAGACGCTCAAGAACATGACTCACGAGGAGACTAAACTCAGGAAGCGGCTGACTGACTTTCAGAATAATCTTTCCACTTGGAAGGAGGAACTTGAGAAGAAAACGGGGTTTGTTGTTAACCGTTGTTTAGCAATGCTTGAAGTAGTGAGAATGTCTGGATAGTGATGAATCGTTTCGAATACTTCTTCTTCGATTGCTTTTTATACGAATACTTCAGAGAAATGGATGAGTTGAAAGTGTCACTCCCTCGGGTTCAAGAAGAACTCGCCCAAGCTCGAGCTTCTCTTCCAGGGATAAAGGAAAAAGAAGACAAGCTCATGGAAGAGGTATATTGTATCTTCGAAGAACGGCAACATTTGCCGTGGTACAAACTCGTGAATTTGGTATATTTTCCTATGACTGCTTCAGGTTAATGTACTGCGTGCGAAGGTTTCTGAAGACAAGCAGCTCGTATCTTCTGGCATCGCTGGAACGGAGCGTCAGAAAGCGCTGGCCAAAGCTAAAAGCGAAGGGCTACTCAAAGGTCTGATTGGAAGACTAGTAAGTTTTTGCGAAATACTTAATAAAAAACTTGATATTGTGGAACTCTTTCCTGGTGGCTAGCATTAATTTTTTTATTGCTACCTGTGGTCAGGGAGATCTCGGCACTATTGACAAGAAGTATGACGCAGCCATTTCTACGACGACAGCAGCATTGGATTCATATGTCGTTGAGTCAACCAATGACGGTCATGAGGCTATTGATTATCTCGTGAAGGTGAACAGTTAACCTCGCTCTGCCACAGATGTGAGAAATAATTTTTGTCGTTTCAGAAGAACCTGGGTCGCACCAATTTCATAATTCTGGACAAGACAAATGAATTTAGAGATAGCATGGATACGAGGAAGAAATTGTGGGTTTTTTATACGTTCTGTAATGGTCTGAAGTGAATTCTCATTGTTTCAGCCCTGCACCGCGTTTGTTTGATCTCATTGACATTCCTGACCCACGTCTTAGAAAAGTTTTCTACTCAACAGTTTTTGATACTCTCGTCGTCGATACGTTAAAAGAAGCCACTGAACTCTCGTGCAAAGATCGATGTAAGTTGAAACTCTTTTAATTTAATTTGCACCCTTAACTGTAGAGCAAACTGTAATTGTAATCCTATAACAGTTTTCTTTGTTGAGGCGTCGCTTTCTCGCAGTCCTAGAATAGCAATGTTTTCGCTTATTCGTACTTTACCCAAAAGTAATAGGTGCAAAGTGCAATGCCAAGTCAATCTTAAATCACGCACTTTTAAGGAAAGGTTATGGCTTCATTGTTAACTTCTTTTAGTTGCACATTTTGATTTTCTTGATATTATTTTTTCTTTAACAACCATTTTTAACAACTAGGCTGAGGTCAGATTTTATAATTTGACATATCTGACTGTATATGCTCACCATAAACCCGTCGTTATGGCTTTTCATTACTTTTTTCAGCGCTGCGCATTGTGACACTCCTTGGGCAGGTAGTCGATAGCTCTGGTACCGTGTCAGGTGGAGGTGCGCCAAAATAGTGAGTTACAACTCTTATTTATAGCTTTTCACTGATCTGTACATCTAATATTGCGGCAAAAAGCATCTTTTCGTGAAATAGCGGTGATTGCATGCTCACGTTACATGAAGGATGAGTTCATAAGTATTACTTGTAGTGGACTTATCGGTAATAAAGAAAAAGGAAAAGCAGATCAAGCACTTCGTGATGCGCAAGGTAGACTGCCGGCACTGGTCAAGGAATTAGACGAAAAGAGTGAAAAGCTAGCGGAAACATCCCAAGCTTGCCGTCAGGTGATTTGAATTGATGTTTGAATTACTTCAGCTTGTGAACAGTGAAGCAATATTGTATCGATTTAATCTTTCAGATGGAGCAGCGTATTTTCGCCCTGAGCAACGATGCAAATCGGCTGCGCACACAGTACAATGCTTGCGACAATGAAATCCTTGTAAGTTATCAGTCTCTCTTTGTAGTGATGAAATGCATTTGGCGGGTACCGCACATGCATAATGTATAAAATAAATATACGCGTAATGTTCCTCAGTTCTTGTGGATGTTGTGGGACACGCACAGGCCCTGCTTATTCGGTCTTCCAAAGCGGAGATCGTTATTTAGGGCTGTGCAAACCAAAGATGCACAAAATCCATATTCTTTACAGAAACTCACTGAACGAATTTCTCATATGGAGAAACAAGTGGTCTACGTCAATGAACAGCTGCAGAAAAATCTTGCTGATGAAGATGAAGTTGCTGCGAAGAAAGCTGAAATTGAAGCAGCTACTATCGGTGTGTTTCACGTTCCCTCAAAAGCTCCACTGAAGTGTTTTTCACGATGGTCATCTCCACTCGGTTTTCTGACCTCGCAGTCATAATGCTTTAGCACGTTATTTCTGTGATTCTAGAGAGGGAAGCATGTGCCAAGGAAGTTGCTGCAGCTAAGGCCAAAGTTGATGTTGTGGCTGCAAAAGTCAAGTCCATATTCCATGAATTCGTACAGGTATGCTTTTATGTTTCTTACATAAAATATGTAGAAACTGACACTTTCTCTCCTTTTGCAGAAATATCTCGATGAAGCAGACACTGCGAAGAAGCGAAGACAAGAAATAGAGGAACAGGCAGTAAAGGAACGAGTTAGCATAGACTTGAACGAGCACAATATGGAGAAGGTGAATAAAGCAGTTTTGTCTCTGGAGTCTGCCTAAAACGCAAGTAGCTGGTTAGATTGGCCAATTGAATGGGTAGTTGTAGATGATATTTGAAGCGTTTCAAAGTGTCTCTGAATTTAGCCTTGAATTCACGTAATTATAGGTACAAAATAGGATCAAATTTCTCGAAAAATCACTGGCTGAAAAGAAGGCTAAGGAAAAGAAGCTACTAGAGGAAGAGGAGAGCTCTCCCAAACAGCTTACTCAACTTAAATCTCAGCAAGCTGAATTAAAGGTATTTTGTTATGAACCTGCCCAAGTTGATAAGATACTTTCTAGCCTGCTCATAATGCCATTTGGCACTTTGGATGTACGTTGTTGTAATCGTCTTCCAATTGGTACTGTGTGGATGATTGCTACTATCTGTTGGTTGAATATTTTCAGAGAAAACTCGAGGAGATTGAGGAGTTCCTGAAGAACACACGGCAACGAAGGGAGGATTTCAATCGCGACGAGCTGAAATATCTCAAAGAACTCAAGGTAATTTGGAAAGTAGAATTCCTTTTCACGAAACAGGCGTTTTAAGACTTGCTTTCTCTTTAAGATCTGCACGGATGATCTAGCTGAAAAGGAAGCCAGTTTGAAAGCTCTTAATGTGGAGGTTGACAAGTTGAAAAAACAAGTGAGTTAATTTTGGGATTCTGCATAGGCCAAAAAAATCATTCGGGTTGTTCCAGATGGACGCCTTGACATTACATCAGACTCAAGACTTTGATATCATTCCTAAAGCTGCCAAACCACGTCATGGAGACGACTCATTGGATGATTCGTTGTTGGGGGACCTAGCTCCAGTTGAGAAAGAGACTGAGAAAAAAGGAAAGAAGGTTTGTCGATGTTTTTGTCTCAGTCCTAGCAATTTGTTTCAGTCTATTAATGACGATTCCTTCAAAAGTTAGATTCAAGAGTGTGGTCACTAAAAAGGTTCAGATTACCTCGCCGACGTAAGCGATATCTCACCATGGTGTGGTAACATTAATCGTTTAGTGAGACATACAGCTGGTAAACTTTTGCGAATATTTTGCTTCTCAGAGGGCCAGCGGTTACATCCTCTGTTTCTCGGTTTGGTGCGTGTCCTAATAGGAATTCCGATAGCAGAAGTAGCGACGGCGTCGTGAACCGATTTCGTGTACTTTTCGGTGCTCTCTGATGTCTCTTGCATTTTTTTTACATTTGCCAAATATCTTCCAGCTGGAAACGGAGTATATCAGAGACGTTGCAAAATGCAGGCTCATTTGAGCTTCTGCTGCTGTCTCTTATTTATGGTTGAGGTATAATAGTCACTGACTTAGTGGCTGGGCCTTAAGCGTCCAAAATCGCATGACTACTCAGTGGTCATTATTTCATGATGTTGACACTTTCGTCGTTTTGGATAATTAGTTATAAATTTAGCGTGACAAGAGGAAAGGTGGTGATGCTGAAGAGGAATACCTGGAATCTCCTGATGGAACAGTACCCAAGTTGACTAAGGAAGACGTGGCCAGTCTCGACAGAGAGCACATTAAGTTTACATTAACAAATCTTGAACAGAGACAACTCTCCACTCGAACGGACATCAACATGCATGTCATTCATGATTATAAGGAAAAGGTTAGTATTTTGCCACCAGTGTTTTCCAGTTCATAAATTACAAGTTTATGTACGCTCTCACTAACTTGTATGCACTTTGACTACAACTCGAAAACCATTTACCGATAAGTTTCTGAACATCTAACAGTAATTGTTTCATGGGCAGTCGGCGTCACAAGCGTATTTTCCCACTATCGGCTTTAGAACGGCGACTAGAATTCGCAGCATGTAGAGATCTTATTGGCTGTTTCAGAAAAACTAAACAGTAACTGCATTTCTAGTAGTCTAAATGTCCCTATTTGTCATTTTTAAGCCTCTTTCCTTCACATTTGTGCTTTTCGAGTACACATGCTCTAGCACATTGGCTAATTCTACTGCTATGCAGCTGTTTCTTACCATTATACTGGAGCTCTAAACATTCGAGTAGACATCATTACCATCGTTGATAATATGTCGTACATGTGAAAGGGGCAACTCATAGCAAGCTTTTGTAATATCATAGTCTTCGATTCCAGTTGAAGAAACTTGAGGCAGAGCGAGCTGTTCTCGACGCGGCCAGGGAAACCATGGAAGAACATATGGCTGTGCTGGATAATATGCGGAGGGATCGACTAGTCGAATTCATGGTGATTAGAGTCGTATAAATGCTCTGTTAACTTGACTCCCATATCGATTTGTTTGAGGATGGCTTCGAACGGATAGGACTCGGCCTAAAGGAAATGTATCAAATGATCACTCTCGGTGGCGATGCTTCCTTGGACCTCAAAGATTCGATGGATCCGTTCACTCAGGGAATTCAATTCATGTTGGTTTATTTTCATTATCGTTGTAGGGGCCAGACCATAAGTATCCTCATTGGACATAGTGGAAATGCACAATGAATAGATTGGATGTGAATTGAATTGATCGCTGTGAAAGACGATTTGATCCCAGTAGTGCGTTCCATTATGGAGGCGGCTAAGGCCCTGTTCAGAGATGTCCGCTTACGCGAAAAAACGCACAGGCGAAAATCTCCGCCAAGATTTAGATACGCATCGACTGAGAAATTGTGAAACGCGTAAGCGAAACGTCCGGAGCAGGCGAATTTCAGTCAAGAGTTTGATATGTATCGACTGTGGCGGAAAATCGCGTGAGCGAAGCGTTCGGAAGTCGATGCGTATGATACTCATTTTCGTCGATCCTCCCACTTCACGATTCTCCTGTGCGTCTTCGCTCAGTCGATACATATTTCACATTATTTCGCCTATGCGTTTTTTCGCGCAAGCGGGCATCTCTGAACAGGGCATAAGCGTTAGGGCCGACATTATGCACATCAACTATTTTTCTCTCCTGCATGTATATTACCAGTGTAGACTATACACAAATGACTGTGTCATTCAAAGACTTTAGCAATACTGAACGGCACAACGAAACTTTGATTTTAGCCCCATTAACTTTGATGCAGTCCGGCCCACTATGAGCATTTGATCTTCCTCCATTGCTAAGCTCGATCCATTTTCCCGTTCTCCAAGCTCCTTTCGAAGCTATTGCGAATCTGTACTTTAGTCCTCCCCATCATGTGCTTTTGAATCTACTCCTTCGTAAGCTTCTGTCCTTTCTCCATCCTACTTGGAACACAGAAATAAGGTTTATTGCTTCTAAAGGTTTCGAATAACAAAGACGAAGGAAGATTCAACTTAATGTACATTATTTCCCGATGCCCTGCATGACACTTGCAGTATTGAATAATTGCACGTTAAAAGGGTTTTGTGCGCACAGACGGTAAAATACACATGTGTTTCAGCAAATGAAAATAGAAAAAAGCCAAGTTTTCACCATTCCCAGGCGAATTTCTTGCTAGTGATAAAGGATAAGCGCTCATGATGTAGGAGTCTATTCCTATGTTTCATGTGGGTGTCACCAAAACATTTTTTTTGAAAAAAAAACGCTTTTGATCCTGATCGATTTTTGCGGTTTGAAGTGTTCCTCAGATCGCCATTGGCTTCCTCGAGCTCTGCTCAAAATATCACCCAACCACTTTCTTTTCTCCAACACGACCTCGCTAATTCTAGGGTTCGCCCTCCAAAGAAGTCATGGAAACAGATAGAGAATCTGTCTGGTGGAGAGAAAACCCTGGCATCGCTCTCGTTGGTTTTCGCTCTTCATCACTATAGGTTAGTGTGCCAGATATTGTTCTCCTGAGTCTTGCTACGCCATTGTAAATGCGGAATCCCATCTTTGTCCTCATTGCTGGAAAGGAAAATTCTAGACCAACGCCGCTATATGTGATGGACGAAATCGACGCAGCTCTAGACTTCAAAAATGTCTCGATAATCGCGCATTACATCAAGGTCTGCACTGTTTGATAAAGTCTAATTTTTTATTTAAGTTCCTACTACGTCTGTTTCAGGATCGTACCAAAAATGCACAGTTCGTCATTATTTCTCTGCGGAACAACATGTTTGAGCTAGGTGATCGATTGATTGGAATCTATAAGGTATTATAAGTGGTGCTACCTTCTATCGAAATATACTTACGAGAGTCAAGCCGATTTCTTCAGACTTTCGACCGAACTCAAAATGTAGTCGTTGATCCACCACAAGTTATCAATGTGCAAGTGGAATGTGCACGTCGAGATCAATTGGTGTTGACTAGGAGCAGTTCAACATCTGATGACGAGGATCGGATGGAGGTCGAAGCCATTGCTGGCAAGCCGACTCAGTTAGCTATCTGCCCTCCGCCTAGGTCTGATTCGTCTGGTGACAATAAGGAGGTTTGGCTTGTTTCTGTTTAGTCCCTTACTTTATGATTGGATCAGAATCCCTAATGTAAAACTACTAGTTTGTTTTATACTCATTGCCAATAGCAGTCTTTTGAGAACACGCCGGAACCATCGCGTGCAAGTAGCAGTGCTAGCAGCTCGCAACAGCACCGACTAGCTCCTATCCAAGAAACTCATGAAACAGATTCGCAGGTACTTATTTTTCCGTTGTTAAGGATTTTTTGAACCAGCGCATCTTTACCCCTTTGGCTACTGCTGGTACACATGTGTACTGCGCAGCTCGCAAAATTAGTTTTCATATTTTTTTAATACTAGAAAGTATATTTGTAGTAGCTGAATGCCGATTCACATTTCAAAAATATTCACTCCAGCGGAGATGGTGTGGGGACAAGATCGACCACTACCGCGCGCATGGTCCTGGATCGAATCCCAGGTCAAACACAGCGTACGTGAGCCAAATTTCTATAGATGATTAGCTGTTGCCAGGAGCATTAGTTACTACGCAAAACACATCAATATCTTAATTCCAAAAAAAGTCGTCTAAGGGTTAAACTCAACTCGAGTTTTTCAAGGTAGTGCTTCACAATGGTGGAAAATTTTCATCTTAGGGTGCGCTCGCGATCCTCCTCCTACTTGTAATGAGGCAACATCCTAAGGGATTCCAACGAGGCTGACATATTTAGTCAACTACGCAGTTTCCAGGGACGATTGAGTGCATAGCATATTACGAAAATTAACGTTGACCGGCGCTTTCCGCCTAAGGGATTCTAATCAGACTACGGTGAAATTTCTCTCTACCTCGCTGCATGTGCGCGCTTACATACGTAAGCACTTTAAGTTAGCGAATCTTGAAGAGGTCGGACATGATGCATTCCTGTACCCTCACCCGAATATCAATTAACCTCTCTTGCAGAGCACAATGAGATGAGAACGATGTTTAGTTCCTTGACCCCGTCGGCTGCGCGAAATTGAGCGGTTTCTCATGGAATTGCACACAAGAGTGAAAAGTAGATCAGCGAAAGTACGGATAAGCCCTGAAATGACTCATAAACACTTCTAAAGTAGCGTTCTGTATCCAGTGTATTTTGTACTTGAGTTTGGATTGCAAAAGTCAGATAAAAACTGCACACTCAGTTACGTTTGTGGTCTACTGTATGGTAGTATGGTAGCGATTCGTGAGCATTCCAGGACTAAGCTTCTCCAAAAGTTGGACATTTTTGTAGGGCACGGTGAGCTGAGCATGAGTTTAGGAGGTATGCAATGTCAATCAGTTCATGCTTAACGCACTGGCGACAATGTCGCCCGATGCGGGCGACACCCCCAAAATTTTATTCCTTTGCGCATATTCCAAATTTTGAGCGGTGCTATATTAACCCGGAATACGTTGTCAAACTTGTAATGGCCACGTTCTTTGAACATCTTTCACAGTGAAAGTTTTACAGAAGGGTTGCTTGGAATTGCTTCTTCAGTGATAAGGTTGTTCTTTCTTGATGTAGAAAGCTGCCTTTTTGTATGCTATTAGCTAGCTCAATGTTACAACTATTGGCAAAACGGAGATTTGCCGGGGAGATTTTTGCTTGGTTTGCAGCCATTAGCATTTGTACGAGACAAATGATGTTTCAGCAGTTTCCGCATTGTGTTCTCATTGATTTGGTATGTACACCGTATGGAAGCGTTTCAGCATTAGGACGCAATTTTTGAGAACACCCAAAAATTGCTTCGTCGCCAGTGTGTTAAATGGTTTCATAACAGGAAACTGGGAAATCTGGATTCGAGTAATGCTCGCGGGTGAACTTCTGGGACTGTTGTATTTTCGACAACATCTACTTCATAAAATTGCAGCCAAAGTTGCAGCCGTCTGCTCATGTAAAACATGAGTATAAGTTGCAGTCGATGGTGCTCTCAAGGGCGTTCCAGCAGACGCTAGCCAGATTGCATAGTGTGCTCTACCCTATCACCAGTTTACACGGAAATTTCAAAATGACCACTATCAACTGACAACCAGTAGCAGATTATGCACGTTTGTTTGTGCAGACAACTGAGTTAGCGGTTAGGGTGCGTAGTTTTTGTGCCAAATATGAAGGTACGATTGAAGATTGAAAATTCTCCGCGTAGATGCGGTCTCGGAGAACAACAATAAGCGTATCGTCAATCAAATTCCTGATAATGCAATATTTTCAGAATTGATCTGTTAGGAAAGCGGCTCATGTGTGATACTCGGCTACATCTTGCTGTCTGAAAGTCGGCTGAATATTTGCGGATGCAAGTCCACGAAAGAGCATTCTCCGTGTATTTTACTCGATCTGTCATTAAATGACCGGTATTTAAATTTATTCTACGTGACTATTGACCTCAATACTCCACTTTTTTTTATAATACTCAGTGAAGGGTGCGAAGGATTTAGTGATCTTCTTGTTTTGTATTTATGATACTCATTTTGCCCTCATGTTCGGGCCACTTCAATCGATTTTAAGCGATCAGTAATACTTGTACTAAAATAAGTATGAAATTTGTAATTTCTGTGCATGTGAAGCTGAAGAATTTCTCCCATTGTATTTAGGTAAGTGTAAATAAACAGTTGAAATAAATGTGAGGATTTTACCGTGACTTTGTAATTCGTACGATAGTAATTATTTTTGAGGACGTGCCATTTTCAAGGCAGTTTTTTGCATAGTATGAGGGCAAATGCATGGGACGTAGAACCGCAGTTAATAACTGGACATGAGCGACCATCTGAATATTATAAAGTGGGAGAATCGGTGTACTGCGTTTCACAACTTCCTTAATTCCTG